TCCAATTGAACTTATGTGTGGAAGTCAGAGGACAATTTGTGAGAGTCAGTTCTCTTATCACACCATATAGGTCCTGTTTTGTGTTAAAATAGCAAAATACCCAAGGTTGGATATTTTATAAAATAAAGAGGTTCATTTCAGTCATTGGATATTTTATAAAATAAAGAGGTTCATTTTAGCCTGGACGGTCCAACATGATGCCAGTGCCTTATTCAGGAACCACTGGCTTCCTTACAACATAGCAAGAATTAGGAAGGGGGTCAGCTCTGCGCAAAGGGAGAGGTCACGTGGCAAGACAGGAAGCCAAAGAGATCCAGAGGCTGAACTTATTCCTTTTATACAAACTCCTTGTGGGAACTAACTGAGATGCCTTGAGAACTCCACCCTCAAGGGTGAGGGTTCCATATGCCCTCCACGGACCTGCCCTCTGTGGTCTAATTTCCTTCTACTAGGCTCCACCTTCTAAAGGCCCCATGTCCTCGCAACAGACCGGGACCAAGTCTGCGACGCAAGGACGTTCAAGATTAAATTTATAGCAACTTCCCTCAAGGTTGGTTATCCCATTATCAATGGGTGAGGTTAACATTTATTATGATTATTGGTAACTTTCCAACCACCATTCTCAGTAAACAATGAATCCATACTCACTGTCCTTAGTGTTCCTTCCTCCTCCTTATTTTGAGATTGCTTGATTTTTTTGTTTTTTTCAAACTATTTCTTCTTTTATTGTTTTGGAAGTAAAAGACTTTTTTCCACTCTTTTGATAGTTAACCTTTGGCCACTTAGAGTGCACACATTTTATGGACCATAACTTGAGTCAATATTTAATATTTGAATATTGACTATTTGAATAACTTAAGAATGATAGATTATTTTAACTCCAGCTATCACTCTGACTCACATACTATTGTTATTCTACAGTTCAGTGGGCTTTTGGAAATTGATCCATGACCTTGCCTCCATTCCCTGGGGATTCTGCCTCTTGGTGCAGACCCAGGACCCCCCTAGTTCTTTCCTGCCATTCCTTACAACCTTTCCTTCTAGCCCATCTCCATTCCTTTGTGTCAATGATGACCCACAGAAACACTTTATACCACTGTGGCCTCAGTGGCCATACTAGGTTGGGACTCATATCACTGTAGCCACGGTGGACTCAGATCAGTGCCTTGATCAAGCCTCATCATCGATTCTTCTTCCTGATGTAGATGGGAATTAACATGAGACCCATGTGTGAACAATGAGCAGAGAAAGAGAGACTTTACAGTGCTCAGTCCTAAATGGGATGCCCCAGAGCCCAGGGATCTATGCAGAAGAAGAGGCAGAAAGATTGTAAGAGTCGGAGGCCATGGATGACTCCAAGGACAGTGTCCTTCACACACAACAGGACCGATGCTTATATGCATTCACAGAGACCGCGGAAAGCACACTGAAGACCTGCATATGTTCAAGCCAGATGGGGTCCCAGCTCAGAAAGAAGGATGTGCACACAAGGTCCCACCCCTAACCAAGAAACTATCTGCAATTGCTATCCACTGGCAAAGGGGAAAATGGAGTGCCATTGGGTATATCAACCACAATCTAGGGCAGGCCCCAGGAATAGTTGGCCAATACAAAACAAACTCCATTTTTTGGGGGGGGACGTGTTTTATTTTGGCATTTTTACTTTTTTGTTTTTGTTTTTTGCTTATTTTGATTTTTGTTTTTGTGGGTTAGAGAGAGAGAGAGAGAGAGAGAGAGAGAGAGAGAGAGAGAGAGAGAGAGAGAATAAAGTTGGGTGGGTAAAGAGGTAGGGAGGATTTGGGAGGACTTTGGGGAAGGGAAAACATGATCAAATATATTCTATGAAAACCTTTTTGAATGAAAATGACCCCCATAGGCTAATCGAGAGTGGCACTATTTGAAAGGATTAGGGTGTGTGACCTTGTTGGAGGGAATGTGTCACTGGGGTTGGGCTTTGAGGTTTCAGATGCTCAAGTCAGGCCCAGTGTCACTCGCTCTTCCTACTGCTGCCTGTGGATCCAGATGCTGCACTTTCGGCTCCTTCTCCAGCATCATGTCTGCCTGTGCGCCACCATGCTTCCCAGCATGACGCCATGGACTAAACCTCTAAACCTGTAAGGCAGCTCTAATTAAATGCTTTCCTTTATTCGAGTTGCTGTGGCCATGGTATCTCTTCACAGCAATAGAAACCCTAAGACAATAATACTTAGAAAGTATACTTCTATGTGATAGACACTACTCTAAGTGTATTGATTCATTTAACACTCACACAACCCTACAAGACATCATTTACTTAGTATTCTTATCTTCATGCTGTGGATATAGAAAAGGAAAACATTAAGGCACTGTTGTAGAATATTATTTTAAGATGTGTTACATTTGTTTATGCTGTGGAACATTTGTTTAATCATGTAAAGATGTGCTGTATTCCTTTATGTTGCAATTGTTTAACTCTGTGAAGCTGTGTTACTTTGCCTGTCTAAAACACCTGATTGGTCTAATAAAAAGCTGAATGACTAATAGTGAGGCAGGAGAAGGGATAGGCGGGGCTGGTAGGCAGAAAGAATAAATAGGAAGAGCAATCCAGGGAGAGGGAGAAGAAGGAATGAGAAAAGGAGGAGAGGAGGACTCCAGGGGCCAGCCACACAGCCACACAGCCACACAGTCACACAGCCAGACACGAAATAAGAAGGAAAGTTGGGAGCTGGGTGGTGGGCCCCCAAAAGAGTAATGAGTAAAATAAACAACTACAAGGCATAATAAGTTAAGAGCCTTACCTGAGGTTAGACCGGTACACGAGCATTCTGACTATAGAGCTCATGCTATCAGCTGCCACACTCTTGGGCTACCACCACAATCACTGAAGACTTTGCTAGTAGCAGGGATTGAACCTGGGGCTCATGCATGCTAGGCAAATGCTCCATCATGTAACTGTAACTCTAGCTCTCCTTTCTTCAACCTTTGCTTTCAGACAAGGTCTCTCTATGCGTCTCAGGATAGTCTCTCAGACAAGCTCACTCTGTAGCCCAAGCTAGCCCTGAACCTGTTGTCCTCTTGCCTGTGTCCTAAGTAACTAGGACTACAGGCCTGTGCCGTCAGGCCTGGTTTTTATAAAGTGTAAACTGCACACACCAAATGACTGTTGTAGCCATTTTAAAACATGCTATGCAGTGGTTGTCAGCATCCCCGCCAGTCACCCAGGGAACTGTTGATCTTGTGAAACTAAAACTCTGAGCCAGGTGTGGAGACGCATGCCTTTAATCCCAGCACTCGGGAGGCAGAGGCAGGAGGATCTTTGTGAGTTGGAGGCCAGCCTGGGACGAGCCAGGGCTACACAGAGAAATCCTGTCTAAACAACAACAACAACAACAAAAAAAACCAAAAAAACAAAAAACCAAACACACATGTCTGTGCATGCGCACACGCACATGCGCACACGCACATGTGCACACACACACAAAACCCACCACCACCAACAAACTAAAACTCTGTGCTCAGTAGATAACTCTTCACTGCTTCCCCCTTCCAAGTCCATTCTTTTGATCATGTATCGCATGTAAGTGGAATCAAACAAGATGCATCTTATAGCAGGCTTATTTCACTTAGCACAATGTCCTTGGTTCAGCTGTGCTGTCTTTATCCCGTGGCTGACAGCAGGCAGAGAGGAAGGAAGGGAGGACAATGGGAGAAGCGTGTGTGGGAACCACACTTAACCCACTCTGACTTCCCCAGCCAGCAGCCAGCAGATCGGGTTTCCATGTCTCTGTTTGCTTCTGCCCACACTGAGAAGTAATTGCCTTCTTAAGATCTACTCACCCCAAGGTATGGTATAGCTATTTCCTTCAGATTGAAACATCCTCTTCTGGAGAGAGGATGGGGCTGAAAAGAACCCAGAATCTGGAGAAATGTGTCACCCTCAGGACGCTCACAGCACAGCTTAGAAAGTTGTGGGACTCCTGAGTCCCCTTGCTGTGGTTATACAGGGGGTGAGCAATTGGGGGGGGGGTTTCAGTGCAGCTGCCTGCAGCTGTACAGGGAATTTAGTGTTTCAGCTTTAGTCAGTGGCCACCCATGCTGCATGGATGTTTTGGTGGTCCACTGCCTTTAAGCCACCATGTGACCCTACTAAATTCTTAGAGTTTACCAAGCTAGACTTGGTGGAATCATTTCTTTCATCTGTTTTTGGGGCCCTCTCTCTCTCTCTCTCTCTCTCTCTCTTTCTCATCTATCTATCTATCTATCTATCTATCTATCTATCTATCTATCTATCTATCTATCTGTGTGTGTTATATGTATACATCATATATACAATATAAGATATTGTTTTATATATAAATTATATATAGTTATTGAAATAAATGATAAATGGCACTGGTGGTGGCACTGGTTACCACGTGGAAAAGTCACGGTCACGACAGAACCCAGCATTAGTTTTAGAGCTTTATTAGGAGAAAGAGGGGTGGGGGAGAAGAACCAGGCCTGGGAAAGGAGCACTTGTGGAGGGCAGAGAGAAAGATGGTAGCGGGGGAGAGGGAGCAGATCAGAGAGAGAGAGAGAGAGGGTGGGGTCTGCGTCTGGCTTTTTAAGGGTTCCCGGTGAACACGCACAGATGGACTTACAGAGCTATACCACGCATGCACTGATTGCGTGACCACGCCATGCAGACGTAGTCGCCAGCACACACTGATGACATAAGACACAAGACCCTTTGCTTAACTCCTAAACTGCGCATGTGCGATCACGCAGCTGGAGTCAGGGCAGAATTCTAACAGTTATAAATTAATATACTTGTATAATATTATACAATATATAGTATATTATGAATAGATATTTGTTCACTTATCCCCTGAGAAATGTACCCAATGAAGAATAGACAGAACACAAATGGGTTGGGTAGGAGCAGTCGCATGGATTCTGCGATTTACAAGCCTTTCTGCCAAGACCAATGCACCTGAGGGTGGAGCATCTCAGGCTTCCTTTGCACGTGGTATGGGACGGTATGCCTTTTTGATGTAGTGGCAGTTGTGTGTCCCCTGCTGTGGGCAATAAGCTATCCTAAGGTGGAGCATCCTGGGGCTGGGATGGGGTGGTCCAGGGTGGCCGTCTCCTTCTATGTAATGTAGGGTGGTATTATAAGACGCTGTCCTCTGGGCATGGCATGACCATGGCTGTCTTGAAATGAAAAGAGCTGTGATGACTTCCTCATAGGCTTGGGCCCACTAATATTCCATCATAAAGAGGCGGTAGGGCATGAGTAGTTTGAGAGAGTACAGCAGATACACGAGGCCGAATCCCTCTCTAAGGATAGATGAACTGTTGCTGATTGTTGAAGGGGAGACATTTTCTTTAGTGGTATGCCTGCTCATAAGTTGTCCTTACTGGTATGGGTAAGCTCTTTCTTTTGTTTATTGTTGATGCCTTATCTGAGTTCAATAAATGATGGATACAGCTATCTCCTAGAGCAGTCGTTTTGAGCTGGGATTCTGAATCCATTGTGGCAACAGTTTTGTGACTTTGCTGTGGGTCATCAGACATGCAGCTGAGGGTGGGCTGTCTGCTCAGGAGAATTTGCCTGCATGAGAAGAACTGAGAGCAAAAGAGGTGATGATGTTATTGTCTTCATTAGCCTTGTATTTGACAGAAAAAGTGGAGGGTGAGGTGGAGGCATCACCCTGCTGTTTCTTACAGCTGGTGGGGGGCAAGGAAAAGGTAATCTAAATTAGATCTATGCTATAGCTTTTCCTGGAATTCCCAAACTTGAAACTCATGAGAAGCATCAGACAGCCGGGGACAAGGAGTGCTAAGAGTGAGGTAGAAATGATAGAAGCTACCCTATAGGTCCAATCATTAGTACAGAGGCGGAGAAAGCTCACTTTTCAACGTGCAGATGGGGACCTTCGTAATGGCCTAGTATGGGAAGCCACGATGATCAGAGAATGTGCCGCATCTGAGTTGTTTGGATTGGGAAGGACTTGTAAACAGGAAATGAAAGCGCCTTCACAGCCGGCTGGCTCATGAGCCTGTGGGACATGAGCCTGGGGTGAATGAGATCAGTCTGAGTGTTGTGGGAGCAGAAACAGTAGCATAACTACCCATTGCCCTTTAGATAGAGGCTGAATGATCTGGAATTAGTCTCTGATGGACTGGTTCTTATGAGCCATTAGGGACACAGAGTTAATGCTAGCCGAGATCCCCACAAATATCAAGGTCTGGAACAGCAAAGGAAAGGTAGGCATTACTGAGGGGCCTTGGTATGGATGAGCCATACCAAGCTCTCACTGAGCCAGATAGAAGCGGCCAGACGAAGCTAAGCAGCAGGGATCTTAGGACTGGCGTGGGGCCGGGTGGCTCTGCTGAGCCCCGTGGTGGGTCTTTACAATGCAGGCTCTGACAGATCTGAACGATTTAGACCAGTGTGTAAGTTGGGTTGATAAGGTAGAGTCATCAGGAACATACGAACAAATAAGGAAAGCAGACCATGGGGCCTGCCTGGGTCACCTGAACGCAAACGTGACAGGATTTGTGTTGAGCCTGGGCTAGGGGGTGGGGATGACAGGAAGCTAAACACTATCCAAGTGAGCCCCAGAAGGGGTTTTAAACCTTGAACAGTACTTCACTAAAGGTGTGTGTGTGGTGGGTAGTGAATGAGGGCTGGACAGATAGCTCAGCTGGGGAGCCAACACTGGTGACAGAAAGAACATGGCTTGGACACTCTAGGCTGGCCAAGCAGTGTAAGTCAGCCTTGTGGAACTCATTGGATACAGATGGATGCATAACAGCCCCACAGCGGAGGGGTGTGTGTGTGGCGCAGACACAACAACGGACCCAGGATAAGGAGATGAAATGACTCGTTGAAAATTATGGTGGATTATTGTGGTTTGAATAAGAATGCCTCCCACCCCCCACCCCACACTCTTATATTTGAATGCTTAGTCATCAGGGAGTGGCATTAACGTGAGAAAGATTATGAGTTGTGGCCTTGTTGGAATGGTTGGAGGAAGTGTGTCACTGGGGTGGGCTTTGGGATTTCAAAAGCCCAAACCAGGCCTAGTCTTTCTCTTTCTCTTCCTGTTGCCTGCAGATCGGATGTAAAATTTTCAGCTGCTTCTCCAGCACCCTGTCTGCCTGCACACCACTGTACTCCCCATCATGACGATAATGGACTAAACTTCTGAAACTGTAAGCCAGCCCCAGTTAAATGTTTTCTTTTGTAGGAGTTGCGGTGGTCACAGTGTCTCCTCATAGCAATAGAACGCCGACTAAGATGATCATGGAGAGCTGGAGGAGATAGTGTTCCTCCATCCATACTGCTGTACCCAACGCAGCTCATTGACATGACAACAGATGTAAGCGGTGACATCTTTCATGTGGCCTTGGGCTTGCTAACGTTTTATTTTAACTGTGCCCTTGGCTGCTGACTCTCAAGACCAATTGGCACTTGTTTGGAACAGATGGTAGTGGGCCTTCAGAGCGGCTGTCTATCTTCTATAAAAAGTTTCATTATATAATGTGAAACCTTGAATATCTTACAGATTTGGAAAGGCATCTGGAAGAACCATAAAAAAAAAGCAGCAATTAAAGAGCTGGAGTGAAGACACTGTGGGCGGAAGAGGCACACCCAAAAGCCGTAAGGTTACTGAATAGAGTCTTAGTGCAAGAGGTGGGTTACTGCCCTATAAGTCACTGGCTGGGGAAGCCTCTGAGGCCCCTTAAGTCGTAAATGGCATTGCCACTGTGGTTGGTTGCTTTCCAGAACTGGATGGCAAGTTCTTATTGTTGAAGACGCCAAACACTTTGGCTGAAGGACGGAGAGAAGTGAGGATGGGCCTGATCTGGAAACTCACTCCCTGACTGCCGGGGGGGATTGTCGACAGTCCTGCCATTATTGACCCTGCAGGCTACACTACCAAGATGCCAGGAAAGACGGGGTGCGACAGTGATGCAGCCTTTATGGTGTAGTTCACTGCTTGCACAGGAGAGCACTCACTTTTAGTACTTTGTAAGTCAGGACAAAAACTTGTGGCCAGAGAAGCTCCTGGCTCCAAGGTCCGGGGAAGCTATTGCTGCTGTTAAATGCGTATGATACGCCTATCAAATTGCCTTCTAAACATTTATGCTTATATCCATAGATTACTGTTGCTGTCAGCCTTAGTTATGGAGGGGAATTTCTTTTTTGCTGTGGGGGGTGGTTATTATGGAAACGTAAAACTGTTAAGAATAAGTGACAGGCTGGGTGGTGTGGTGGCACACGTCTTTAATCCCAGCACTCGGGAGGCAGAGGCAGGCGGATCTCTGTGAGTTCGAGGCCAGCCTGGGCTACAGAGTGAGTTCCAGGATAGCCAGGGCTACACAGAGAAACCCTGTCTCGAAAAAAAGAGTAAGTGACAATTGCTGTGGTCCAGTGAGGTGGCATAAAATCACCACCTGTCCTGGTTAGATTTTGTCAGCTGGACACAAGCTAGAGTCAAGTGGGAAGGAGCCTCAACTGAGAAAACGCCTCCATCCATCGGTATTGCCCATATGCAAGACTGCAGGGCGCCATCGTCTTAATTGCTACTTGATCGGGAAAGACCCAGTCTACTGAGGGTGGTGCCGCTCCTGTTCTGAGCCGTGTAACGGAGTGAGATAAATGATCTGTGAGGATCAATCCAGTAAGCAGCATGCTTACTTCTGCTTCAGTTTCTGCCTCTGAGTCCCTGCCATGGCTTCCCTCAGGGGTGGACTGTGATCTGAGAGGTACAAGATGAAATAACCCTTTCCTTCCCAAGTTTCTTTTGGACATGGTGTTATATCACAGCAATAGAATCCTTAACTAAGACACCACCCGCCTAGATCAGCCCTTCTGAGGCTCTGGGGACATCGTTGAAGAGGAGGTTAAGACAGACAGACAAACAAACAAAAGAGCAGGAGGAAGGGGCAGAGTGTTGTCTGTATTTCCTCTGAATTGAAATACTTGTTCCTGGAAAGAGGGGGCGGTGCGCTCATAAGATATAGAAAGCTAATGAAAGGTGTAGTTTATGAAGCCTACAAGGTACAAGAAGCTCAGAGAGTCATAACACCTATGAGGCCCTTTCCAAGTATATACAAGCAATCACCAATTGCCAGGAAAGGTGGATACACAGGACAGACAGAGCGTCCGTGCATTTGTCTGAATGCTGTGCAGAGAACTTCAATGAAGCCTCATTCATGTATTACATCTATGCTGGGAGTGGGCTTTTTTTGGGATACAACTGCCTTCCAGTCACCCATGTACCCGCAAGCCACCCCCAATAAACTCATTGGATCAGCAATCTAGACTCCTGTGGAATCATTTCTTTGGTTTGTCCTTGGTGCCCTATTTGTGTCAAAGGGACATTTGTTCACATTTTCCGGGTTACAGTCACACAACACTGGGCCAAAGACTAGAGGTGTGATGGTCTTAGTTGGATTCTTATCAAGCTGTCCAGGAAGTATGCCAAAGATTTCTCATGGCTGTTTAATGATGGCGACCACAGTGGTCAGAAGTAACAGTAACACAGCAGCACAGTAACTTGGACCAATCCCTCTCACATTGTCAACCCATCTTATATCTGTACAGCTCACGTTAGAACTGACCGGTTTCCTACCGCAGTGGTTTTAGGAATGGGCAAAGAAGACAAAGGCCATTCATATCCCTTTCTCCTTGACTCAGCCCTTAGCGATCTGGACTCTCAGGCGAGAGCCGACTTCCACTCCTTCAGTGGAAGGGAGAGCCTCCTTGGCTGAATAATACATCTGAGAACTGAATCGATGGTCTGGCTTCCCTCAGTGGAATACATGTCTCCCTGGGGTGTGGGAGAAACATGGGTGGCTGAGCTAGCGCACCCTACTTCCTTCTGGGCACTCTGCAATGTGTGTCTGGGTCCTCGGTCGCTGCAGGAAATAGCAGTCGTGGTCAAGGAGGCTCTTGCCCTGTGTCTGACTTATGAGGAGTCAGGCAGTGGGCAGGTCTGAAGGGAAGGAGCTTTTAGATGTGGCGGACAGCAGTGTTACATCTCAGACTAGAATGAAAAAAAAAAAGACAACAGCAAAGAGAAAGTCAGATGACCCGAAAATGACAAGCAGTGACAAGGTCAACATTATCTTCCTTTCCTAAGATCATTTTGCTCTCCCGCTTTCCCCTCCAGGGGCCAGGAAATTTTAGAACCTGGTCCACACTCTTAGCATCTTCTCCGTGGAATGGGTCCAGCATTGCTCTAGTTGTAGAGAATGATAAAGCTCGGGGTTCTGCACCCTAAGGTACTTGTATTTCACAGATATTGCTAACCTAAGGAATCTCAGCTTTAATAGAGAGATTTCAGGCTGTCAGCTTGCTGGGAGGGAAATGTATTTGGGATGTAAAAGGTTGTCAGAGCTATTTAAATCAAATCTAAGGAGGATGCATGCCCTCGGGGTAGACGTATGGAGGGAAGATTAGAATCCCCGTGGGGTTACAACACTCACCTTCCGCACATTGTAGACCCAGTTGAGATAGGCATTGACCTTGGTGTATACTCCAGGGGTACTGGGGCTCCCACAGCCATGGCCCCAGCTCACGATGCCTACTACTTGCCACTGGTTAGAGTGGTACATCAAAGGCCCGCCACTGTCACCCTGTGAAAAGCCAGAACAGGAGCTTGGGAAGGCCAGGCCAGGCTAAGGGTGGTCTTCTTCTTCCTCCTGTCCCTGAATTGGCCCATGCATTCCCCTGCATTCTCCATGGCTCTGTGCATGCTGACTTCTCTACCCTCCTTCTTGCTCATATTATTCAGTGCTCTTTACTCTTAGGGGGAAAAAATGGCCCATCTGTGGGCAACTAAGTTGAGGGCAAGCTGCCTGCCTTATGAGAGGGTCATAAGTCACACTAGCAAATAGAATTTTGTTTAGTCCGGCAGTTCCTACATCTATTGAACCACCAACGGAGTGCCTGGTTATGTTTGGGTCTGATCCGGATAACCGAGGTTCAATTAACTGGGAAAAAGATCCTCACCCCGCAGGGAGTTTATGATCAAATAGGTTGGCAGAGCCAATAAATGAGCAGATGACAAAATGAAGTGGTGAAAAACACACTCACTGCCTCTCTCTGGGCTCAGTAACTCTGCAGCCTGATTGCCTGCTTGCATAGTCTCTCTGTGGCCACCATGAGTTCCTGGAGGGCAGACACTGTCTCTGAATCTGTTGTTCACGGGGCCCCCAAGAGATGGCTCAGAGACAGCTAGCTCTGAAGCTAGCCAGAAGCTAAAACTGAGTGTTTTAGCTTCTGGAGATGGGAGTAGGCTGAGAGATTTGAATAACAATGGCTCCAAAGATTCTCCATCGGTATGGGGTGGTAAGAAGGTATGCAGGAACTGCTTAGAAGTCCTCGTGACCATGGAGACAGGAGAGGGGACATGTACCAAAGCTCTCCTAGCATGAGATGGTTTTTCAGGTGTAGCAGTGTAGGGGTGGTCACAGAGGACATAGACCTGGTCATTGTCCTCAAAGGGATCATAGATGATGGGAAGGGAGGGCAGGTGGAGAAGGTAGTCTTGCCGTCTTTTTATGTGAGATATACATTCAGATTCTCCTGCTCACCTCGCTCCGTCTATCCATCTATCCCCCCATCCATTCTTCTATCTTTATCAGACTGTGTTCCTGCCTTGCTTTACCACACAGAGACCGCCACAATCTGCAAGGCTTCGTGTGGGCACGCAGTTGGTAGATTTTCACATCTTTCCGGGACTTCCACCCCGACTCACAGAACTCCCCGCGGTCTCAGGAGAACCCACCTGGCAGGTGTCCACGCCACCTTGTGGGACACCTGCACACAGCATCTCCTCGGTGACTTCCCCCTGGTAGGCATCCTCTGCGTTGCACCGTGTGCTGTCAATGACCTGGACTGACGCCTGCAGCAGTACGTCAGACATCTCCCCTGGGAGGTTGAAAACATTATTTCCTTCTTCTTGCCTTTACCCTCAGCCCAGACTAACTCTCGGGGCCACCAACATTCTTTGATGCCTGGAATTTTGATACATGGTCAACCAGGGTGGTCTTCTCTAAAGGATGTTCCTCTTTCTTATGACTGATGGGAGGGGGTAATAAGATACCCTCAGGCACGGTCTCTGAGGTCCAGAGTCCAAGACTCACCTCCATTTTGCTCTGTAAAGCCCCAGCCAATGACCCAGAGTGGTGTGGCTGGGATGAGCTCTTCATCATAGAAGGGCAGGCAGATGGGCCTGACAGTGTCTGTCAGGAACAGAGAGGGAGAGGGAGACCCTATGTTAGGGTTGGTTTTTCATTTTCTATATTTTGTGCTTTTCCATCTTGGCGGTCTTGCTGGTCTATGTGAGACTAGATTAGCTAATTCTTAGAGAGAACGAGCCACTTGTCAGTGAGGCCCTTAATATCTAAACTAGTTAATACAGAGCCTGCACTCTCGACCTCACTCACCATCCCCCCAACTCTCACAAGCCAAGCCAGTGTTTTTCTCTACCCTAAATCACCCCAGGTCTAGATCCTGAACCTCTAGAGACCAATCTCTGCAGTGTAGACAACTATCCTCGTTTTCCAGTTCCAAGCATGCTCAAACTTGCCTACCCAACCTCCCTCCTGCGGTCTGGAGCCGCAGACATCACTTGGGCTGTCTGTCCCCTGCCCCACCTCTGCCCTTTCGATCTTCTGATGCACGCACATGCACACACACACAAACACACACAAAGAAAAGCCCAGGAAATACTAGGTTCCTTGTTCCTGGAGGAGCAGAAGCAGACACACAGTGACCTTTGTCAGGGCCTTGAGCACTGATCGGGGTAAGACACGGACTAGGCAGTTCTTTTAAAAAGGCCCTAACAACTCCAAAATCAGATGACTGGGATCTTCGAAATGGAGCGAACAGACTTGGAAGAATCTCTGCCAGGGAAAGGTGTGAACATTAGCTGACAGCCAAGGCACCAGAGACGTCAAGAGGATACATTAGTTGGACACCCGCGGGCCAGCTGAGGTCTTGAGAAGGAACGTGATGTGTCCAAGGCTGCTTAGCAGAGTGGGAGTAAGGATAATCCGAGGGGCTCTGTTCCCAGGGACCACCTCTCACCTGAGAATGTGAGCGGCGACTGCAGCTTGACAAGGGCGATGTCCTTCTCTTTGGGGTGCAGGGCATTGTGCTCGGTGACGAAGATCTTGGCCACGGGCAAGGATGGGAAGTGGCTCAGTTTGTTTGAGCCGACCCTCACCTTCCAGTTGGTCACATCAAGATACTTCCTAGGGATGGGGATGGCTAGATCAGGTGGGAGCCAATCACACTGAGGCTTTGCCTGGGGCTAGGTCTCCAGGTCTGTTGATGCTCTGGGAGATCATAGGATGGGCACAGAGGTAGTGGAGAAGGGCAGTCTAAGGAGCCATCTTCCTGAAGCCAGATTATAAAAGGAGATGTGGTTCTTTTCTTCATTAAAAGGGCCCAAGGAAACTTCTCCCTGGAGGCCTTGGGAAGAGGCTGCCTCATTCCTGGGCCTTGGAGTCCTGCCAGTCTCCCCTCCACCCTTGGTCTTGTCTATACTACTTGCATTGTGGTCCATTGAGCCATGGGCTAATGTTCATTCTTCTCCAGGCCAGGCCCTGCCTGTGCACAGGGAACTTTCCCCAGGAGTGGGCTTAGAGCTCCTGTCAGTCTCAAAAAGGTGAAAAACCCTTGGCTGGACCGAGGTACCTTGAAGGTGACAACAGGGTCTATGTGATGCTCAGGATCTGAAGGGGGATGGTTCTTGGTACTCACTGGATGCTGAATGAAATGGATGAATGAGAGTGAAGAGGTCCTGAGTGTCACCCTTCCCCAAGGCCTGGCCAGCTCCCTCTCTGCTGGACCAAATGATAATCTATACTTGGTTCAGTTTCTGGACCATAGATAGTGACTCTCCACCCTGGGAGCCATTTTCTGGAAGAAGACTGGCAAGGCAGGGTCACGTTCTTGGGAGCACAGGTGTGTGGGGAGACCTTCTGTAGCAGGAGCAGAATGGGCTCACTGTGGGGTGAGGGCCCTGGGTACCTGAAGCTTTTCACCCAACAGAGTCCAACCTTGGAGATCAGCACTCTCAGCGCAGATCCCTAGCACCTAACAAGGACATCGTGGCCAGTGTCTCATCTTATTGATGCACCCCAGCAATGGTTTTCAGACTGGAGGCCATGGTCAGGAAACAAGCCAGGAGGCTGGCTCCCTCCACGTCCTCTATCCCTCCTGGCCTCCTCATAGCTAGGAGTCTTACCTGAAGCAGTGAGCTGCTGTGAGGATCCAGCTGGGATCCAGGATGCTCCCACCACAGACATGCTGCCTGTCGTACTGGATGCTGACCTGCCACGGCCAGGAATCCACAGAGGCCTCCACCCCGCCCACCACGCGAGGAGTCTTCAGGCTCTTTCCACATTCTGGACCCGGGGGGAGAAAAGGGGAGGAGGGGGAAGTCAGGTTTCTGAGGAGCCCCTCCCCACCAAAAGCCCTGGAGCAGGGCCCCCAGGAATGGTGCTGGATGGGGAGCACCCACCCACGCCAGTTCTGAATCATTCACCGGGAGAAAACAAGCATGACGTCACAGGTTTCCCTGAAACCCCCCCTCCACCTTGCATGTGTTTGGGAATTTAGATTTTTGAACATGGGTGTGTCCATTGTGTTTGCAGTTTATCATCTTCAAAACAAACAAGGGTGCAGAGTCATGAATTCTGAAAGCCCTGACCAAACAGAACAGTCCCTAGATGCTTGCCACTGAGTAAACAAATAGTCACAAGTTACTTTGGTATCAGGAACTTAGATTAAAGTTCTAGAAACTGGGTTTCTTCCCTCTGTTAAGGGAGGTTGTCTATTGGCCATCCTGTCTCCTTCTGACCTACCTCTCACATCTGACCTTTGAACTTGAGTTAAAATCTTCAATGCCAGGGCTGGAGAGATGGCTCAGTGGCTAAGGGTGCCTCCTTCTCTTCTGTAGACCTGAGTTTGGCTCCCAGCACCCACAACAGGCAGCTCACAACTGCTTGTAACTGCAGCTCCAGGGGATCTGGCGACCTCTACTGGTCTCCAAAGGTGTTGCATGCACATGCTCATACCACCCCATAATTAAAAAAAAATCTAAAAACTAAAAACAAAACAAATCTCCAGTGCCATGTCTTTACCCTGTTCCGTGCCTCTCTGGTCTTGCGGACACTCCATTCCATGGTGATCTTTCCAAGGGGAAGCCTTCTCACTGCTTCTCTCTTACCTAGCCCTGTTCCTGCCAAACGCTATCTGGTCCAACCCTGCTTTCAACTTGCCCCCTTGCTCACTCACTCAGAGATTCTTGGGCTGGCAGGATGGGGGTCTAGATTCTTCTGGACTGCTTCCCACCGTCTTTAGATAAAGCTCTGTCCAGCTAGTGCCCTGCTTGGAAGTCCCTGGAACACTTGGGCTATGGTTTGAGTTTGCCTCCCCAAAGGTGGCAGCTTAGCCCTGAAGTGGTGGTGATTAGGTGGTGGGTTCTTTAAGAGGCAGGGCCTAGTGGCCCTTAGGTTGTCAGAGTAACCGCCCTCTCACGGGGGTAAGCAGTTTTCTGGGCTCCTTGAGCTCCTGTGAGAACTTAGGACCAGACAGAATCCACCCTGAATTGCTGTCTGGTTCCTTCTTCCATCCACCTTCCATGATGATCTACCAGCCAGCGACAGGGCCCCACTTGAAGACAAACCAAGGTGGTTTTCTGGTCTTAGACCTCCAGGTTCTAAAACTGTAAGCTAAGTAAAAATCTCCTTTACACTGTTATCCCTCCTCCAATATTTCATTATGGTAATAAAGATCTAATATGCTCAAGTCATGGGCCGTGAGCAGATGGTGGAAGGGCGTTCTTAGCATCAACTGCTTGAAGAAATGCTAAGCCCAAACAGTGGGGCTTAGAGACCAGGAGAGCCATGAAGACGAAGGCCTTTCCTCCTGCCCATAGCTGGCCTAGGCCCCACACCCTAGGAGATGGAGTGTACTCACCAAGGCAGCTCAGGGAAACCAGGGAAAGGCAGGGCCTGAAAGAGAGACACAGGGTGGAACTCAGCCCTTGCGACACTGCTGATTCAACCTGGTCCCCCAGTACTGGGGAACCCCAGAACCTTCATCATGGACCTGTGGAGAACTACATTAATACTCAGTAGAGTTCTGTTTGATTCAACACCCCCATTGCTGTGCCTGCACCCATCATGTATGAAGCCGTGACCAGTGCAAAGGCACCTGGGGCAGGAAGGGAGCAGTACTGGCTGTGGTGGAATACTTAACTACGTGAAAGTGTGTTACATTTGCTTATGCTGCATTTGTTTGATTATGTCAGGCTGTGTTGCTGTTTCACCTTGCCTGCCTAGGGCACCTGATTGGTCTAATAAAAAGGTGAACGACCAATAGCTAATCAGGAGAGGGATAGGCGGGGCTGGTGGGCAGGGAGAATAAATAGGAGGAGAAGTGTGTGTACAGATATGTGTATGTATGAGAGAGAGAGAGAGAGAGAGAGAGAGAGAGAGAGAGAGAGAGAGAACAGGAGAACAAAGGAGAAGGAAAGAGAGAGACACCTGGGGCCAGAAGCTAGGCAGCCACCAGCCAGAAGTGAGAATCAGTGGAAGTAAGATATACAGGAAGAAAGGAAGAGGAAGAGAGAGAGAGAGAGAGAGAGAGAGAGAGAGAGAGAGAAAGGAAGGATGGAAGGAAGGGAGGGAGGGAGGAAGGAAGGAAGGAAGGAAGGAAGGAAGGAGGAAAGAAAGGTAAAAAACCCTGAGACAAAACATAGATGAAGAGAAACAGGTTAAGTTATAAGAGCTAGTCGGACAAGCCTAAGCTAGGCTGAGCATCTGTAACTAATAGGAAGTCTGCGTGTCATGATTTGGGAGCGGGTGGTTGGCCTAAAAGAAAGAAGCCTGCTACAATCGGCCACACTGCAGCCCTTTCCAACAGAACAGGATTTTGGTGGAATCACAGATAGTCACTCTGGCAAGATCTACTGTGACTGTGGCAAGCATCTGTCCTGTGTCCTGAATGCTAAGAAGACAGCTGCTCACGGAGCCTCTGCTGCCTCAGAGCAGGTTTTGTTTGGAATCAGCTGTGCTCCCACGAGGTGGTGAAGCAAGGCCTGGGAGCCTTTGGAGCATCAGAAGGTGCTGCTCTGGCCTGAGGGTGTGGTGGAGAAGGACAAAGTGATGCTCAGGCTCTTGCCTACCAGGCAACTCATTAAGGAACAGTGGAAGGAACAGTCTTGACTGTTCAGGCAGATAGAAGGTCATTGTTCATTCCTCTGCTTTTGAACGGGACAACACACATTGTATCTAAACAACAACAACAACAACAACAACAACAACAACGAGTCAACAGAGAATACCCTCTTAATCCATGACCCTGGATGTTTAATGGCCTGCTTAGCTAGTTCTTCCTGTTGTCTGGCTCGTGTTCCTCTTGCTGCAGCCATGAGCGGCTTTCCGTGGTAGTTGGCTTCTGTAGGTCAGAAGGTGTCCGCTCACTTACCCGCTGACGTTCTTCACCTGAAGCTCCTGGCTGTTTCCTGTGACTTGAGCTACAGTGAGATTCTGGTCTGGGCCAATCTCCACGGCTCTGAAAGTGGGTCGGCTGTGTAGGGAGAGCACTGTGAGCTGGGGCAGAGGCTGGAACCCCGTGGTAGGGAGAGCCCCCCCCCATTCCCCCGGAGAGAGGGAGGCGGGGCGACACAGGTGGGCTGGGTTAGTGGGCGGGGCTGGCTTTGCCGGGTCACAGGAACATTCCCAAGGCAAGGCAGAACTCAGCCCAAGACAGGCTGCTGTGGTTTTGCTTTCTGGGGCAGGGACTCCTGGTCCAGAACCCAGGGTGCTGCAGAAAGGCTAGAGGTCCGCTTTCTTCACACCCAGCTCTGTCCCTGTCTCAGATGCCCCATCTCTTTATGTTCACATCAGTGGGCGCAAAGAAGCAAAAGGACCCAGATGAACTCCGGTCTTAGCGCGGAGGGAACTGGAAGGTGGATGTCTGGTTTTCCAGACAGGGGGCCTGGTTTGTCTTCCATAGTGTTTTCAAGACAGGAGAAGCCTGGATCCATTTTCCCATAGGAGTCCGGGTGGAGCTTTCTGAAACTCAAACTGCCCGCTCCCTTCCCCTCTGCTAATCCATGTTTGCCTTCTTTTCTTTCAAACCCTGGATTTAAACCTTCCTCCTCCAGGAAGCCTTCCCTAACCACTCTGCTCTCTGGCCCTTTCTTCACCAAACACACCCCTTCCAAATCGCTCTTCCCGTTACAAGCTTTGCACGGAGATCTGGGGTCAATCCACATGCCAGGCTGGCTGGTCCACCCTCAGGTAGGAATTCCAGCACATTCTGGGATGACCAGAGCCTGCTAGCCTCAAGACCTAAGTTCTCGCGTGCTGGCTCTGACACCAGTTTGGTGTACGACCTTGGGCAGGTCACTTTTGTCCTGTGGGTCTCTCTGAGTCCTGATTTTTCTCCTCTATAAAATGATGCATGCACCAGGGGTTCTTCCTACACTGGACTACCTATGGGTTTGTGTTCCTAGGTAAGAAAGGCTCCCTTCCAATCCAGGCAAAGGAAAAATTGAGAGACTTGAGCCGAGAGCTTAGTCCAAGGAGAGAGGATGCTGGCGGTGAACATACCCAGGACAGCGATACAGCCTGATGAGTAATTTAATGAACTTTGATATCATATAGCCCCAGAGGCCTGGGAGCTCAGTGCTTCAGTGCTCTCCAGAAAGGCAGAAATTTCGGGAGGCTACCACCTTAAGAACCTCAGGAAACCCCCAGGTTTCATAACGGAGACTCTGCAGCCTGCAGGGTGCAGTCCAGCTGACGCTGCAGTTGGCTGGACTGCAGTGGAGGAGGGGCTGGCTGCGGCACAGAGGGGCAGCAGGTGCCGGGCAATGCCTCCAGCTGTCCTTCCAAAGGAAGGGAAGGGGTGTCCTTTTCGGGGGCGGGTGGTGGTGGTGTTGGTGTTGGGAGCTCCACCCAGAGGCGAGAGAGCAGAAACTATAACCAGGAACCAGCAGGGACAGAGGCCTGATGAATTCATTCTGGCTGCCCAAAGCATCTCTTGGACAAAACCTTGAGACTGCCTTAGGGATCTCTGGAGAGAACTCTGTGATTAACTGGTAGTGTCTGTCTAGTAGTCATCGTTTCTGTCTTGTCTCTGGGCTCCGTCTCTTAGAGTCCTGAGGAAGTTCAGCTTGCCAGGGAGCGTGGAATCCCTCTTTGCAGAGGAACACCTGGCTCCTGGAGGGATCAATTCTCACTTCTTCCTTCACTGATGAAGCCTTTTGAGGAGAGAGAATTCCCGATCTACAAGCAGACACCAGAGAACTTGTGGTGTCCAGGACCAGGGATGTGGGCAGATTCTAGCTCTCTACCTCCCAGCTTCTGCCTAAGCAAGCTACTTACTCTTTCAGAACCTACTTGTAACACACATTTAATAATAACTGCGCTTTGAGCTTTCTGCCAAGATCAAATGAATATAAATATATGTAATGCTAATTACCCTGCATGTACCTCCACTCCAGATTTGGACCTGCTTCTGTGGTTCACTGAGAGAGCTGGGGCTGCTGCTGCCGGAGCCCCAACAGAATCAGGCGGGTCCTTGCTATTTTTGTTTTCCAGTGCTGGGAATGGAACCCAGGGCTTTGCATGTGACAGGCAAGCTCTCTACCACGGAGCCACACCCCCACTCTTCCTTTCTGCTAAATTTTAACCAAGAGGACTTTGCATATGTAAATTAGTGTTATGGTCAGGGACTTTGTACAAAAGGACAAAGGAGCGAAAACTGGGGAGAAAAGAACTCCATCCTCCTCTAGTGAGATGGGCATTACTTCCTCTGGCTGAGGTCAGGGGAAGCTGAGGCCGGGGGGATTAACCTTCATGCAACTTGTAAGTGAAAGTGCTGGGACTCCAACACAGTTCTATAAGAATCCCATGCCTGTAGTTTTAGGGAAGAGGGAGGAAGAGGGGAAGAGGAGAAAAGAGAAAGGAAGGGAGGGAGGGAGGGAGGGAGTGGGGGAGAGAAGGAGGAAGGAAGGAAGGAAGGACAGAAGGCAGGCAAAGGAGAGCAGAGGCTGCTGGGTGAGGTGATAGCCTCCTACAGCCTTGGTTGGATACCTGTCATAGCCCATCTGTCTGCAGGCCGTCTCAGCTAGTGCTTCTGTGAAGGTGTCGAAACAGGCAGAGGCCCAGGTCCCTGTGGCCACATCCAGCACCTGCAGGGTTGATCGGTCCTTGGAGAGGCGGACTGGGAGGGAAGGAGCCTGGGTCAGCGGGTGGGTGGGGCCTTTCTAGATCAGCCCCCCCCCCTCCATTGCTCCCAACCCAGAACTGATGACCCTGTCAACATTAAGTGAAGTTCTTCCAGTCGACCAGAGCCTGATTTGGATGGCAGCTAGGGGGAAACCTGACCAGCTGTCTAGAGACAAGGATTGACAGCCTCTCTTTTTGCTCGTAGAGGTATCAGTTTTGATGAGCAGTGACGTCATGGCTCTGCCATGGCCCACACAGCTTGCCCAGTTTGGGGAAACATCTCAGCCAGGGACCTGGTAGCTTCTGCATGGAAGGTCAGAGAGGGTGCTTAGGTGAAAACTTCCATCGGTGTTAGCGTGGCAGGAGCCCGTGGGTATTTGACTATACTAAGTAACAGTCAATACACAGGAAGTCACTCAGCCCTGCACCCAAAGGGTCTCATTACCTGTCTTCTGGGCTCAGTGTTAGTGGCTCAGTCGCAGCTAGTCAATCCCGATTTTCACACTTGAAACATTTGTTCCTCCAGTGGCTTCCCCTGCCCTGTTCCCTAGCATGTTTCAGTCAACACAGTGAATGGAAGGGTGGCTAGCTGGTTAAGTGACACGGTGACCATGTTTGTAGTGTCACTGAGATATCAAAGAGGAACCAAGCAGGTACAGCCAGCATAGCATTGGCTATACTTTCCTGTCCCCTCAGGGCCATTGGTTAACCCTTTCTGAATGTGTGTCCTGTCCAGTGCTGGGACCTGAAGGTAGATGTGCCACGATCTTGCTTCTGGGGACCTTCTCCTGCAGGGGTAGACACTGACGAAGAAGTGGGCAGAGGCCACCACCAAGCATCCTTCCCCCATCTCTCCTCCCCTTCAGTCCCTGGACTCACCTGCCACTCCAGGCTCCTCAGGGAAGTTCGTGACACAGTGTTCCTCATCCTCCCCCGAGGCACAGTCAAGGTGGCCATCACACACCTGCCCCCTCGGAATGAAGGTCAGGGGACTTCCACAGATGAAGTAGTGTTTATCCAGAGCCACCTTGACTGGAAGGCACACGAGGGAAGGGCAGAAGAGGGCTGGGGTCAAGCGGGCAGAGAGAGGCTGCTTTTTCTAAAAGTCACGTTGGCTGGAGACAGGCAGGCAGTTTTAAAAATAAATTATTTATTGTGTGTGGCTGTGTGGCTCTGACTGGAGGTCAGAGGGCAACCTTTGGGGGTTGGTTTCAAGTGTTCTGTTACAACAATAGAAAGCTGCCCAACACAACCACATCAGGTAGGGCCAGCCAACGTCCAGAAGAAATGATTTGGGGTTTTATACATTTACAACCACCCCAGGCCCTCAAGGATGGAGGCAGTGCCTGAACTGTGAATACCCATTGTTACTACAATGAAGATGTGCTCAGCTGGAAAACTGGGGTCCTGTGCCAGCCTCTGTGGACTCTGAGCCTCAGTGTCCAAGTGTAGAATAAAGGGTTAAAGCAGAGACTCTCTGCATGTCATCAATGGGTGGTATCTGCTGCTAGTATAAATGTCCTCCCAGCCCTAAGAATAGGCTCTCCAAAGACCAGCCGTGCCGGGGTCGTACAGGCACTACATACCTTGGGTCCCGGCTCTGCCTGCTACACGCTTTTGGTTTTCAAATCCAGGTTCTTCACATAAGGAAGCTCATTATTGCTCATGATGTTTAAAGGCATTCCATAGTGTGTGTGTGTGTGTGGGGGGGCGTCAATGGACTTCTTCATGGACACACAGGTTCAAATGATAGAGCCAAGATCCCATCCCTGCTTCCTAATCTTATCTCCTATTCTCTGCTGTGAAAGCTGTGGTCAGTCCCTGCTGTAACTGTGGGAATCACTGTCACAGAGTGGCCTGCCCCAGATCACATCAGGGCTAATGCCCTGGCTGAAATGAAGACTGAGCTGAGGTGAGCAGAGGGTTCCGTCTGCCTGGGCCTCTTCCCTGGTCTCTCTTGTCCCTCCTCTCTTTATAGGCAGACATGCTCTCTAACCTGCCAGACAGCAGGGTTGCACAGACACCCAGTTCAGCCCTCCCCACCCTGCCCCTCCACCAGCTGTCAGTTTGCAGAAGATGGGAAGGAGGCGGCTGGGGGTGGGCACCTCTGCAACTGCCTGTGTGGGCTGGGAATGGGTGCCACGTGTAGAGCAACCATCTGGAAGAAAAGCCATCTGGGAGAGCCGGGGGATGCGCTCACCTTCCCCTTTTGCTTAGAAGGCTCCCTTCAAGGCAGGGGTGGATACAGGAGGCATGAGGATTCATTCTCCCCTGCCCCAAAGCTCTGTGCAGATCATTTGCCTATGACTGTGGGCGTGGGAGGATGGGTAAGGGCTGTGGCTTACTGAGGGGGTGAGGGAGGATACTGTCACATATGGGGGGGAGTGGGGTGAAAGTCGTGTGGGGGCTGTAACTCACTGAGGAAGGCTGCAATCACGATGGCCAACAGGCTCAGCAGCACTGCGATGATGGGGATCCCCACCTTTTTGAAGGTCTCCAGGGGCCTGCGGGGCTTGCGAAAGGCAGTGATGTCTGCAGAGAGAAGGAGACAGACGGAAGGGGTGTGCAGTCAGCACCCGGAGCCCATCCCTGCCAAGGCCCCTAGTCTGCATCGGGATGCCCCGGGCATGGCTTTGGTTGGTGGGGACTGTCCCTGCAGGCAAGGCTGAGATTTAGGAACACGTACTCACCCACCTCCCCGCCCTTGCCCCGATTTACCTATCTTTCGTAAGCACTCCTCAGTTGAGCTGGCAGCCGGTGCCACCTCCCCTTGTCTTGCCCTAGCCTGTACAAGAGGATGTCATTCTTGCCTTATCTGACCTGTCCCTGCCCTGGGAGGGGTCCAAGCTCATCAGGCACCTACCACAATATATATGATATATTATCATTTATCCTTCTTTGTTCTTGTATATATATATATATATATTTTTTTTTTTTTGGTTTTTCGAGACAGGGTTTCTCTGTGTAGTTTTGCGCCTTTCCTGGGACTCACTTGGTAGCCCAGGCTGGCCTCGAACTCACAGAGATCCACCTGCCTCTGCCTCCCGGGTGCTGGGATTAAAGGCGTGCGCCACCACCGCCCGGCTTCTTGTATATATTTTTAATTGACACATAATTGTATTTATGGGGTATAGTATAACATTTCAACACATGTATGTAATACATAAGACTTGTGTGTGTGTGTGTGTGTGTGTGTGTGTGTGTGTGTGTGTGTGTTGAGAACATCCAGAATTCTCCCATTGGCTCTTTTAGAACACCAAATGTCATCAACTGCATTTCCCCCCCACCCCCATGCACCCCACCCACCCCTAGTGCTACAGAAGATTAGAGTTTAGTCCTCTTATCCATTTGCTTCTCTGATAATTTTTTTTTAAAGCAGGAGATCAAGATCATGTAGCTCAGGCTAGCCTCATGCTCTAGATGTAGACCAGGATGACCTTGAACTTCTGATCCTGTTGGTGCTGGAATTAGAGGCACGCACCACCACTGGTTTCTGCAGAGTGGGGGATGGAACCCAGGGCTCTATGCTAGGCAAGCGCTCTACCGACTGAGCCACACCCCCAGTCCTCTGCCTTAATTTTTTGCCTCTCCGCACAGTGAGCATGTAGCAGAGGCCTGATAATTACTTGTGAGTAGATGTATCGTGATGTTCCCATCTCCATGTTAGTCCAATACACAGCGAGTCCCCAGCATGGTCCATGTCTTTAAGGAGATTAGAGTCTGGGGAAGAGGTAAACAGGACACAAATGCAGACCACCAGGTGAAAGGAAGTATGTGCTGGATGAGAGACACCACCTGGCGATGCTGGGGAGGCTTCCTGAGCTATACAGGAAGAGACAGGGAACAGAGGCTCTGGGCTAGTTGAGACACAGACATGGAGGGTATGTGTGTGCTGTGAGTGTCTAAGGTCCTGGAGAATGAGGTGGGTCAAAGCCTGTTGGGAGGCAGGAAAACAAAGTCATTTTGTGGGACTTGAAAACCACGCTAAGGTTTGGCATTTGTCCTGAAAGCAGTGAGGCGCCGTTGAAAGTTTTGAACAAGAGAGAGTATGTGACCGGGCTGTTATCTAGTGAAAGCATTCACTCATTATCTGGGAGAAGAGGGCTGGAGTGAGTTTGGGACCAGGGAGTTTACATGGGAGACTATCCTTGTCTAAAATTCGTAAAACAAACAAACAAACAAACAAACAAACAAACAATTACACATCCATTTCAGATGGTGTCATAGTTTGAATCTGAAACATCACAACAGACAGGGCCATAAGTTTGGATGTTAGGTCCCCAAATCGTGGTACTATTTTGGAAACTTCTAGAAACTTAGGGGGGTAAGTCTTAGCTGGAGGAAGTAGATCCCCAAGGCTGTATCTTTGGGAGTCTATTTTTTTTTTTTTTGCCTACTTTTTATTTCCTTTAGGTAGCCCATTTTCTGTAACATCCTGTGAATTGCTCTGCCACACCCTTTCCCACTGTGATGCGCCGAGAGATTCTGGAACTGTTTCAAAAGGAACTCTGTCTCCATGCCGTTGTTTGTATCAGGTACATCGGTCACAGGGGCACAAAAGAACAAATACACGTGGCTACCGAGGAGATGAAGTCCCACAAGGTTGTGAAAAGTCCTGTCGGCATCAGAGATAGGCTCTGGGTCTTTTCAGGTGCCTTTCAGGCAATGAACTTAGGAGGTGTTTTGGGGGGCCTTCATCCCGAGGGGAGCTGGGCACGAAACACAGCAGCTCCAGAAACCTAGAAAGCAGTAGGCGGGCTCTCTTGCCCTCACCCCCACATGGCTTATTCCCTCACCTCGTTCTCACCTCTCTTCCACATCTCCTTCGTGTGAGCCCGTTCTAGAACTTCCCACGTAGCCATCCCACGCTTCCCATCCCCCTTCCTCGCTTGGTTTTCCCTCAAAGCATTTACCTCTGACCTACTTTCCGACATCTTCCTTTTTCTCTCTCCTCCCACCCCTCCCCAAAGTGGAGACGAAGCTGCCATGAAGACTATCTTTTGTGCTCTCCTGCGTCTCCAGTGCCCAGAGCAGAGCCTGTCCCACAGCAGATGCCCAATGAGTGTCCATGATGGGAAGCGATCTGTTCTTGGCTCTGTTCTCTTAAGTGCACCCTGTTGGTCCTACCCCCAGCTCTCACTTTATTCTGCCTCAAGCAATGCTAGGCATATGTCTTCTGCTCATTGGAAGCCGAGGCTGGTGTCTGTCAGAGGCCTGTGCCCCATAAACGACAGTATCAGTGACTGTCAATAAGAAAGCTCAAACTTTGTGCTTCCCTAATGGGGAGTTTTAACTGCACAGTGGCCCTGCAGTGGGGATGTGAATATGACTTGGTGTTGCCTGTAAATTGTTAGGACCTGGCACAAAGCAGCTTATCAGTAATGCTAGGTAGTTCTGTTTTTAAAGTTCCCACACTAGCTCTTCAGAATTGTTCTGTTCCTGTGGCCACCAACACATCAGTATTTTGTTCAATTATTCATGCCTGATTTGTTTCTTGGACACCTGCTTCTGGGAACATGAGGCTGATTTGTTTTCTTGGATAGCGAACAATCTCTTGGAAGGAGTCACTTGCCCCGTGTCCTGGCCCAAAGTGTGTCCTGGCTGTTCTCAGGGAAGACCTGCCTCCCTCTTTAGGAAGGGATGTGGTTTCACACTTAGCTCAAGTTCACAGACAGCCTCCCCGCTTGTGATTGTTCCTTCTGTCTGTGTGTCCTGCCCACTGCTTCTAGACAAGCTTCCAGGAAGGTGGCTTTTACCCTGTCCCTTCCCTCTTAAGTGACAATTGGGGGCTCCTCTCACACTGGCTTTTGGACCTCACTTCAGGACTCTCAACCTTCTAAGCAGTGTATTTAGCCTCATTCTCTGAGCCAAATGGACTTCACTGCTAATTCTCAGCAGCCAGCCCCTGCCCCAGCCCCCAGTCACACGGGCAGGTTGACTTTCTGGTGTTGAATGACCTGGATGTTACTCATGACCTCTGACACTCAGGAGCTCAGATTCCTCCTCTCCTCCCTCCCTCCATCCCTCCTTCACCCCCGCTGTTGCTAGTTGACTTGCCTAGCTAGCCTAGTTGATACAGCCTGGTTGATACAGCCTGGTTTGTTTATACAGCCTGGTTGATATAGCCTGGTTTATACGGCCTGGTTGATACAGCGCCTGGTTGATACAGCCTGGTTGATACAGCACAGGTTTTTTCTTTCAGCTTCCTTCCCACCAGGTGTTTGGAGCCAATTCAGCTGCCTTCTGGTTTGGCAGTTCTTAGATTTGTTCACTGGCTGAGGCACACACAGGAAGAGCCACAGGCAGCCTGGTACTCTTTGGGGACCTCATGGTCTACTGTTACATTAAACTCTAAAGTACAAAGGAGGTACAGTTTCCACTAGCTGAGTTATTGTTTCTGGTCATTATTAACTTGTGACTCAAATAAGATGTTCACCTGAGGGGGATTGGCCCATGGTCTTCCGGATTTGTTCCCATTAATTTGTTCCCTGTTCATTTGTCTTGCTGATGTATAGGCTATCGGGAGTAGGCGTCAGTGATTTAAGAAAATATAATAGGAGGGGGTAAAACCCTTAAGATTGGGGATTTTCTGTTATTCACTCATTCGCCTCCTTTAATCAGGCACTCACAGCCGTTTCCTTTCCTACAGGGAAGCACCAGTGCCCCGCATTCTTGATAGCATGAACTCCGTGAGGCAGGAGCCTTGTCTTTACCACTGCGGTAGCCCAGTTCTGTGCAGCTCAGGGCCTGGCACGAAGAATAGACTGGGGGGTTGTCGCTGTTCCTGGCCTTTTGGGCCTGCTGGTCATATTTCCTCAGAGACCAGGCCTTTTTTTTTTTTTTTTTTTTTTTTTTTAAGAACAAATCCTGGAACTTAGGAGAACTTAGTACTTTTTGTTGGACGATGGCTGGACAGTGGATTGACGTCGTGCATAGCATTCGGCACTACAGTGTCTGAGATTGAAAGGCCCGGGGACCTGAGCTTACCGTGGCTGTTCAGGGGTTGGTCACTGTTCGGATCCTGTAATTGAAGGAAAAATGGCGAGTTGAGTGAGGGGACCTCTGAGACCCAGACCAGCAGTGCCTGCTTCCCAACTGTAAGCATTCCTTTTGTGTGTATGTGTGATTACATCCCACAGCAGATCTACTGAGCCATCAAGTCATGAATCAGCCTGTGTTTCGTATCCGCACACATGGCCGAAGCGTGGCTAGTTTATACCCCACCAGCCAGTACTTCACGTAATGGATGGATGAACTGGTTGAGGTATCTGCCGCAGGGCAGCATTATTGGGAAATGGTGAAAGTCAGGAAATGGGCCCTCATTGGAGGACTTAGATCACAGAGGCAAGTCCCTAGAAAGGGCGTCTTGCCCTGAACTTTCCCTGTGCTCTTTTCCTTGTCCAAGTATCCTAAGAGGTGAGTTGGTCTCCACTATCCACTCCCTCTTGCCTAAGCACATGCGGCCAGCTAAGCTCTCTGAATCTGTGAGCCGAGTCACTCTTCCCTCCTTTAAGTTGCTCTTGTCAGACACTTTCTCACAAGAACATGATAGTAACCAATCCAAAGCTAGCGCTAAATGCAACGCCATGAATGAACTTCATGACATAATGAAGAAAGAAAGAACTAAACACGGGAAAGTATGTATTGTTGAATGACATCATCACGGAATCAGGAGGTAAAGTTTAGGGGTGCTAGCAGTCAGAGCAGTGGTTACTACTGGGGAAGTGGGGTGGTTATAGGAAGAACAACAATGGAATGTTCTGGAATATTGAGAAACTTCTAGAACTTGCTGTGGCTGTTGGTTACATGGTGTTCATGTGTGTTAGACACTCCCTAGGAGGTGTGTTTACGGAGTCGTTTGCTGCATGTGGATTACAACTAATAAAACAGGCAAGCTCAAACAGAAGTCTGCCAGGATACCAGGGCATTCCTGAGAGTGGGGTTGCAGTTCTGCTGTGACACATGTGCACAAACATGCGCACAGGCATTTCCTGCATTTGGTCACTCGCTTCCCATGTGCACTCAATGTACACACAGCTGTAGAGACTCAAACAATGGGAGTCGTCTATACAGAGGCTCCTACGCAAAGTATGTTTACTCCTTTTCCTACAGGCAAGGGTCAAAGGGAGGGTGATGACCAGGTTCCCGTTTGTAGGGTGCAAAGGGCCAAGGGAAAACACCCTGAACCTGACTTGACCCCAGGACCAGGGCCTGAAATCACACCAGTCCCTGAGCTTGCCACAGAGTCAGGCTGCAGAATCCCACCAATCCCCGAAGTCCCTGAGCTTGAAATGCTACAAGTCCCTGAGCACAGAATCCCACCAATCCCTGAGCACAGAACCCACCAATCTCTGAAGTCCCTGAGCTCGAAATGCCACCAGTCCCTGAGCACAAAATCTCACCAATCCCTGAGCCTGCTCCAGAATCAGACCACCAAAACCCACCAATCCCAAGCTACTCTGAAAAGCTCCGCCCCTCAAGAAATCCTATATAAGAGCTGCACTCTGTTCAGTTTGCTGCTGTTTCTCATCCAAGGCAGCCACCCTCCTGGATCCTTCCTTCCCAACAAATCTCTTGAGTGAGGTTTATTGTGCAGTGTGACATTTTCAGAGGAGTGAATTGAAGCCCAGCTGTAACTTTCTCTGGAGCCAGAGCGGAGACTGTAACACTTTTGCTGGGGAAACCTTCCCCTAGTGGAGCAGGTTTGTTAACTCAGGGGGACCTGAGCAGAGCTGTAACAACTTTGCTGGGGAAACCATTCCCTGCCTGGGCAGAGTTATTATTACATTGGGGAAACCTTTCCTTAGAGCAGAACTGTTAAGCGGCTGCTCTTACAGTGACTTTGCAGTATTCCTTGGCTCCTGACTGCCAGGATACCTTTCCATCAGAGCGGTAATGCTTACACCATTCTCTGAACCCTTCTTATCTCTCGAGCATCTCAGAACCTTCTTGATCTTCTTCTCTTGAAGGTCTGGTAGAGGATGGGGAGTCCTTGAGCTCTGTCTGAGCTTTAAGCCTCTACCCAGGGTCTGACTTGCTAATACTGTATGGGTGGTGTGGATACCCAGTGTCAATGGGAAGAAGCTGCAGGATCTTGTACATTTCTTACTGGGGATTTTTCTGGTCCCACTAGAGGGTGAAAAGGCTTCTTCTAAGCCTGGGTGTGTGGGAATCCTAGGCTGGTTACAGGAACATACCCGCTCTCATGTTAAACATGGGGGCCCCAGTGATGGGAGGGGAGCTCCATCCTGCTTTCCCTCCTTCTACATTCTGCAGTCTGCAGTCTGCAATCTGCTGGAGGGCTTTTACCCTTTGATGTCTTTATGAATGGCTGGTGCAGTAGTCCACAGGCTCTGATTCCTACTGATTTTGTGCCTTAGGGCAAGAAATAAAAGGAGCTTTCTGGTGCCCGGCTCACACATGGCCACCTTTTCCTACCTGCCCATCCCCCATGCTTCTGTAGCCCTTCTCTGTTTGGACAGCCACATTTCTCTGACTGTGTCTCTTTCTGTTTTTTTTTTTTTTTTTTTTAAATTTTATTTAGAGTTGACAAATAAAAATTGTGTTGGTCTCTTTTCTATGTTAAGTATCTGGCTTGTGCCTACAAATGACTGAACTGATCTCTGGGCTCTGGTCGTTCCCAGTCTCTCCTTGGTCATCACCAGGCTGGTTGTCAAAGGGGACAACTTTCAGGATGAAGATGAGAACAGGCCAGGGTACCTGGCCCTGTGAATACTCAATCAGGAGATAACAACACCAACAGCAGTGTTCACACAAACTGGAGAAGTCTTTTCATTGAACTTAGGTCCAGATTAAAAAGTACTAAAACCAAGTGTGTGGTACCCAGGGTGTTAGCCCTAAATGTCTGCCGAAGTAGGTAGATATATGGAAATGTCTACACTGTGCCAGGCCCGGATCCAAAAAGAAATTGGAGTTAAAGATCAAGAAGCATTCATACCAGCAGACTAGGAGAGGCACCCAAACAAGTCAACTGAGTGCTACATTCCTTGAAGGGCCTGTGTGTGTGGGGTGGACTATCCCAGGTAATAAGCCAGAAAAAACCCCCACAGGGTTAGGGGAAGCCTTCAGAGGAGAGCAGATTGAGAAGAGAGACATCTGGATGGAGACAGAGTAAGGGTCAAGGGAAAAGGTCAGAACAGTTAAGGAGGCTTCTTTGGAGAGCTCACATCTGAACTGTGACTTGAATGATGGAAAGGGGCCAGCAGTCAGGAGCAAGTGTGAGCAAGTGATGGAGGAGCTACCTAGAAGCAGGCAAGTTTGGAGGGGAGGCAAGGATATGAGGGAAAGAGAAGATTCTGTGTCTTTGAAAGATTGACACTGACTTTGCCTGTGGGATGGGTGCCTTTGGGCTTTGGTTTAACAGGGTAGCGTGTCTGCTGGAATGTGGAAGGCTAGAGGAGGGAGCTGGATACAAAGAGCATCTATTCAGCGGGCTCTTCCCATCAGTTCATTCTTTTTCACGGACTCTACCTGTGTACACACGCCTGCATTAGTTAAGGTAGGTAGGACGAGTTTCTTTTGTTTTTTACTAATTCAGCAGGCATTGACTGTACCCATGATGGGCAAGGGATTATGCTGGAAGCCCAGACACAGAGTGAACAAAGGAAATGTGCAATCTACACCTCTCTGGCCTTTGGCTGCTCATCATGAGCTGAAGTGGCCTGATATCTCATGGTGGGCAATGCTTCCAAGTGCTGGCTACTTAGTGGATATACAAAACATTCAGTACTCGTTTGTAACAAATCCAGGAACAAGCAAGTGAATCCAAAGCTGCAAGTTGTGGTTTTAAGGGACTATGACTGTCCTGTTGATCACTGCATCCAAACTCTCTCCGACAGTGCATGGGATAGGGTGAGTATTGAATAGTGTTGGATGAGTAAATTAACGATCCTATCTTAGCTTTAAGACTTGTCTTGGGCCAGCCTGTAAGAAATCTGCCCATAAATACAGTCACACAATAAAATATCATACTGAAGTAAAAATAAATGAACTACAAGTTATATCAAATAAAAGTGGAACATAAACAACTGAATAACAAGGATCAAGTCCCAACAGGTTCCATGCGGCTCAGCATCCTTTTCATGAAGAAGCAAAGGAATGCTGGACATGGGACTCCCATGATGGACATGGGTGGGCGGTGCTCACCTCAGCAGAGTGCATTTAACATGGTTCCTTAGATATTAAATATGTACAGTGTAGCCAATTTTTGTTGAATTAATAAGCAAAGGAGACTTGCCCATCTACCTCAGCAGGGGCATGGGTGTGCATGTGAGGGGCAAGGGAGGGATCTCATGATTCTATAGGTTACTGCTAAGCCCCAGTGTTTGTACAGATTTATGGAAGCTTACTGTATTCCTAAACCAAGTAACTAGCTAACCAGTTACTAATGTGGATCAGTACTGTGTGGATCAGTAGTGAAATGTTATCATGAATCAAAGGCATGGTCTAGACAACGTTGTGCACCCAATGTTCTAAGAGAGACTAAAAGGCTGTGCTTTGAGGAACTCGGCTCTTGTCCTCATGGCACCATGCTGTAGCCTCTACATCTCCCACTTAGTGGCTCATTCTCTGCCCTTTCCTGCAGGCTCTGGACAAGAATCTATGACAGAAAGAGGTTGGAAATGTAAGGCTGTCAAACTTCCAGGAAACAGAGATGTTGCAGTTCATGGGTATCAGGGCTAGTGGTCAATAGATGTGTTTTAGGGCCCTGAGTGGTAATTGGGGACCATCAATGTTGGAGACATTCTGAGAAGAATGGAAAGGAGAACGGAAGGATGCTTCTATCCCCTCTCAGCTCAGGATAAGTCCTGAACTAGGGAAAGGATGGGGCTGAGACATTCGGGGACCACGTGGAACTCTAAGATCCCACCATACCCCACCACTGGCAGGTCCAGTAGTGTTCAAGGATGCAGAGCTGAAAGGGCCTCTAGAAACCGTTCTGGGCTACTGTCCCTGAAAGCAGACAGAGGAAAGATATTGCCCTAGGGTCACAGAAGAGGGAATGCTGAAAAGCAAACAAAGACCAGCCGTGGTTCCTTCTTCATTGCTAGAAATACCTTTGATTATGCTCAGCTTGAACTTAGCCTCTTGAACTGGTGACCGTTACCACAGTACAGTCCCCTATAGCCAGTCCTTCCCCTTTCCATCAGAGCTGCTGGCTGGGCCAGGCCACCTGCCTTGTTGATCCCGACTGTACAGAGCTCTGGCTCGTGGGTCTGATTCAGCCCATGTCTGACTTAGGGCTCCTCTGGAACAAAGCTTTTGCTGACTGGAGTACAATTGAAGGTTGAGAATGCTCAGACACTCGATTCCCAGGATGGAGGTAGAATGGGTGGATGGTTGATGGTTGAAAAACACTTTCCATTACCTGGTTAGCTCAGAGCATCTTCCTGCTTTATTTTTTTAGTTGGTCACTAACAAGGGAACAGCATTAATCCAGAACCCACCTGTGAAGGCTGAATCTTGTTTTATTGCTTGCAACATCTTCCTTTCAAAGGTGCTATTATATTTAATCTTTGGGAAACCCAGAGACATCCCCACTTTACAGAATTGAAAGCCAAAGTTCACATCCACAAAGTGGCTTCTGTGGTTTCTAAGCAAGTGAAGGGCAGACCCAGCTCTCCAGGCTGGGCTTCTAGACTCGGGGGACTACTCTGTTTTCATTTCCGGGCAGTTTCAAGGGCCTGTGTGGTTAAGCGTCTTTGGGGGTGGTGCACCCTATTGAGTCTCTCCCCTTCTGCAATGTGGTCTTGTTGCCTGTGCTTAGCCCGCAGTCAACATGCAGAGATCACCCTCAGGAGCTCCACAGCCCTTCCGAGGTTGGGAGGCATAGGGACCTGGAATTGCTTCTTGACTTTGCCAAAGCATCTATGAATGGTCATGGGAGCCGCCTCTCAAAAAGCAAGTAGACAGCAGGGCCCTGGTGCCCAGGAGAGCCCATCAATTCTTCCATCTTCTACCACATTTGCCCGTTCTCAGCTGTGGTTCCTCCCTCCCTCCATGTTTTAAATCCTGGAGAAGTTCCTAGGCTTAGCTGAGCTCCAAAAGTCAAATGGTTCATTTTGCCTCTAGCCAGAGACAATGACCCCAGATATCAGGCAGCATTTTTATTTTATTTTTTTAAATTTTCGAGACACAGTTTCTCTATGTAGCCCTAGCTATCCTGGAACTTGCCTTGTAGACCAGGCTGGCCTCAAACTCACAGAGATCTGCCTGCCTCTGCCTCCTGAATGCTGGGATTAAAGGCGTGTGCCACCACCGCCCAGTTTTGTTTGTTGTTTGTTGAGTTTTTGGTTTTAAATTCTACAGAGAAGCCACAAAGAGATAGCCAAGGGAGTGTGACTTCTGACTTGCTGTACATTTAGGATGCTCTGTCAGGCCACTGAGTACCATGACGGGGAGGCACTTGATTATTTCACAATGGAAGGGCCAGTGTTCCACAACGAATAACAAAGAGGCCCAAGGAACAGAGCCGACCATCTCCTTTGCCCTGCTAACCTCTCTGCCCCCCAGACATTGCCTTGCTCTGAGAAGAGGTTAGCAGAGCTGGAGATGAGGAAGACGAACCACAGAACCCAAAGGCTGTTTGTCTGGCTTTGCTCTTCTCTGTGGCGGCTTCGGGATCCCATGAGGCGGGCTCTGGCTTTCCTTGGTCTCAGAGGGAAACCTTGGAGCTAAAGATGCTGCTGTTGCCAGGTGATGGGTACACAGACCCTCTGAGGCTCTCAGCTTCTGTAGTTAGGATGCTGAGGCCAGTGACAGGTTGACAGGGGCACCCCAGGGAAAGGGCGGGGACTGCTTTGTGAGTGAGCCAAGAGACCCGAGGAGGCTGCTGGCAGTTAACAAGAAGAGCGAGTCCTGGCCACAGCTAGCTCAGGTGTTCAGGGGGCTCTCTAGGTGGCCTTAAGCCACTTTGATCCCTGAATCTGCATCTAACCCTCTGTCCCACTGCGAGCAGGCCGCTGTTTCCCAGCTGCTGCTGCTAGGCAGGCAGTTTGATGCCTTTATCAGGCTGGACACAAGACCCTGTCTCTTAGGTGCCTCCACAATGTCAGGTAAGGTAACAAGAAGGGGTTGTGGAGGGGCGCTTCATCATGGGGCCAGGGAGGGGTTTGCTGTGATGCAGCCGTTTAAGGTGCACACAGGGTTTCAGTGGCAGCAGCCGCGCTGGCTTCTGAGAAGTCCCTGGTCTTGCGACCCTGTTTTCAGGCTGTCCATCCAGCAAAACAGGCTAGGCACCAGCTCTCACGTATAGGAGCAGCAGTCTGTATCGTGGGTGCCGGTGTAGGTGTCCTCACGGCCCGCCTTTAATCTAACCTCAGCCCTGCTGCTACATTAGAAACCACCGTGCCTTGTAATAAACCACATAGGTGTTGACCTGCTGGCAATTTGAGTCCGGAACCTCACCTCCCCATTCCAAGGTATAATAGCTACAGGGCAAGGCCTGGGGCGGGCGGGAGGTGTCAGGTGACCCAGCTTTATCCTGCTGCCAGCCCGCTGTACAGCTCTGTCATTTAAGAATCAACCTTTGTGTTACAGCAAGGCTCTTAACTGCAGGTAGGGCTGGGGTTGGGGGCGGGGAGGGTACAGAGGCAAGGATCCCTGTGTCGTGGATGAAGGCGTGGTGCAGGGCTTGCAAGCTCTCTGCCCTGAGCCTTTGGGTCGGGACAATACGAAGGCCAGGAGTGAGGCACTAGTACAGGCCTCTTGGGTGGCGTTGACTGTGGACAGCGCGGCTTCCGGGGGAGGCCCCTATGCTCCAGGCGGCACACTACTGTGAGCTCTCTCTTGCATGTTTGGGGAAGACCCAGGGGAAGCAGTCCATTCTCGCCGACGTTTCTGAATTCTTGACTCTTCTATTTTGCCCAGGTCCACACAGAGTTCTTGTGCCCACTTTCTCCTTCTGGCAGGGTCAGATCATAAGGCGGCGGCTCGGGCGCTTGCCTGCTGGGGAGGACTGACGGATACTAGAGCTTACATGAGTTCTCCAAACACTCTATTTCCCAGAACCAGGTAGCTGCCACCTGCAATGCAGTCTGGTGGTTATAAAAGAATTCCACAAAGCTGATGCTGTCTCTAAAAACCATACTGCCTTGGCTTGTCCTGGATTGTCCCTGAAACACGAAAGGGTGGGAGGTGGTGGTAGGGAGAAAGGGGATTTGCTATAGAGGGCCCGGCTCCTCTGCTGAGCCCCGAAGTGTCCTTGGACAATTCTCAGTGTCTCCTGGACCCAGCTTCCCCCTTTGCAATGTGGGTATAAATCTAACTTCCTGACTGTGAGGAAGACTCCGCAGAAACGCCCCACCTGCTGGGTGCTGGGTGCCTTCCCATACCCACCGGGACTTCATCTGGTCCTCTCCTGACCCCATTGTTGTTTATGGTCCCCTTGGTTGATCTTTGTGGTCTGAAGGGTCTCAGAGGCTCTGGTGGTGGTGTGGGGTCCTCGGTGACTATTCTTCCCAAGCAGATGTGCTGGCCTGGTTTCTTCTGTGCTATCACACGGTATTCGGGTTCAGCAAGGGTTCTCTCCAAGGGCAGAAGGGAGCAGTCTGCTTTGTTCTGGATGCCTCAGGGACAACCACCTCTGTATACAAGTTTAGCTGCTGCTGCTGCTGCTGATCTGCCCGCAAAAGACTTGGTGACTCTTTGATGGCTTTCCTGGGAACTCTGAACCCAGGAGCCTATAAATAGCATTCTGGTGGTGCTTCCGGGACCTCTCTGCATTATTACTTCGATGTTGCATAACCTGGCATTCTTCTCTCATTCTCCTGCCCACTCACATAACTCTGCAAGGGCTTTGGAAGTTTCTCCTGGCTGTGATGCCGCTGCGGGAAGAGGCATTTTGGCAGTGGATGGAGCACAGGCCGCGGCATCCTGCCACCTGGGTCTGAAGCCCACCTCTGTACACAAGTTGTTTGACCACCGAGAGCCTCAGCTGCGTGTGTGTGTGTGTGTGTGTGTGAGAGAGAGAGAGAGAGAGACAGAGACAGAGACAGAGACAGAGACAGACAGAAACTAGTTTTCAATAAGTATTCCTCTTAATGAGTCCCAAATATGCATGCTCATGGCTGGAGCAGAGTGCAGTAACTGTTAATTGTAATAATACTATTTTATTCCATCACAAAGTCACTGTTCAGGGGCTGGAGACCCAGCTATGGACAAGGGGCAGAGTTCTTATGCCCGTGAGCAGATAGCCCATTTTTAATAATTGCTAACAATATTTAAATAGAATCTGGCAAGTACCTGGCATAGTAGATACTTGGAAATTATTCATTATTAACTGGTAAGAGCTTTGTAGAGCATCTGGCATGGATGTGACAGGACCCGGACAGCTATTTTGATGGCTTCCTAGGCCCAGGAGTCTGACATGAGGAGGACAGACTATGGCCCAAGGACATCTGCAGAGAGTAACCAGGGCAGCTAGGGGACCTGAGCTGAATGACATCAGTTGCTCTCTGAAGAGGAGGTAGCAGATGAAGGTCAGAGAAGCAAAGACAGACAGAAGGACAGAGCAAACACGGCCATTCAAACTATCTTAAGGAAGAGGCCAAAGAGGACCCTGAGGACAAATGGGGATACTGCAGGAGCTGTCTTGGCAGAGGGGAGATTGTGACAGCTAGAAGCACTTCCTAGAAATGGGGAGGGGGTGTCTGTGAGCAGGAGCTGGGCCATGCAGGAGTTTCTCAAGCAGACAGAGGTAGGCCTGGAAGTGGCGTCTACCATCCTTGGTTACTGGGCAGAGCCCCGTCAGTGCTGGGAATGGGTAGGTGGGACAGGAGTGGGTGAGGCCACAGTCCTTCCGAACGCTGCCACTCTGGTTTTTCTATTTTGCTTATGGAAATCTGCATTGGGTTTCAATGGGGCTCTGAAAGCAGAACGCACCAGGCCTCATAAGCCCTTCCTCAGGAGTCTGTGATCTAGAATTGCTGGCTGCTGGCTTGCAGCTTCTATTGCCTGAGACTAGTCTGCAGCCTGATTCACTGATAGTCCTCTTTCTTGAAACTTGCTAGGTAGCCTAGACTGGTCTCAAATTCATGGCAATCCATCTGCCACAGCTTCCAGAATGCTGGGATTACAGGTGTGCACCGCCATGTCAGGCTTGGCTTTAAATCACTTTTCTCTCCTTAATGGTCTCGCGGCAATATGGGTCATTTTTCCTGAGCAGACTGGCTGTGAAACTTTGTCCCAGCCTTCTCCAAGGTTAGAGTTGATCATGCCCAGGGGCTTCCTTCTGTGTGTGTTGCTCCCCTGGGCCCCTATTGCTGTTATCTTTAGCGGGGGGGGGGGCAGGGGCGGGGCTGGAGTCTGCAGAACCCCACGCCCTTCCTCCGTCCTCTGGTGTTAGCGTTTCCACTTCATGCACACTTTGCTATAGAGCCCAGCAGCATGGAGGTAGGGAAATGGGAGGGACCAGTCCCACAGTAGATCAGGGTACACCATGTGCTGGTCCTAGGGGTCCGAAGCCTGAGGCAGACTGGAGACCTCCAGGGTTTGAAGTCTCAGCTCTGCCTCTTAGAGGCTGAGCGACCCTTTTCAACTCACTTGGCTTCTCTGTGCCTTCTTCTCCTAATTTCCAAGTCTCCGAGAGCGGTGTCATACTCAGAGGGAGACACCGCACGTCAGGTGACTCTTGAACGGCGGGGGCTGCGTGCACTTCTTAATCAGGTAGGAGATGAGAAGTCAGTTGCTGTGACTCGGTAGGACATCAGGGACTACAGCTCCTCAGGATAGGCCAGTGGGGATGTCCCCGGTGTCAGCGTGGCAGTGGGACAAAGGTGCCCCAGTTACTTCCTTGATGAAGGTGCTATGGTTGCTCCCTTCTTGTTGGCATCTGTGCGTGAAGGAGGGCCGCGTTCTGCCTGGGATGAGGGGAGTCGTTTAGCCTGTCCCTGCTCCTTCCATGCAGCCTTGCAACCCAGGGTCTAGATCTTGCGTCTTCTCCCAACCTTCCAGGGTCGTTTTAGAACCTAGTCTATGGTGGACACTTAGGTTCCCAGATAAGTAGTGGAGAAACCAGTACAGGCAGGCTGTAGCGTGAGAAATTAAGACCTCAGCCAGCACACTAAGCATGGGCCATCTCTGCCCCACCAGCCGGGTGTGCAGCATACCCCATGACTGAAGACCCCTCCGCACCCTGGACAGGCCACTTCATTCTGTCACCCACTTCCTCCAGAAAGTGTTCTTTCACCTGCCACCTAAGAATTTCCATTTGCACGTGGCTTACACTAGAAGCTGGAAAGCATCCTGGGAGCCGGCAGGAGGAGAGGGTGTTGCAGTTTTGAAATCTGTTTACCGGTTTCTCTGCTGCAATCCTGATGTTTAATCAGAGTGGCAGGCTGGGTGGTGCAGCTAAATACATGCAGGGGGATTGCCACACTGTCTCTGCCGGACTCTCCCTTTTCCTGTTGCCGGGGTTTCCTAGCAGGCTCAGGCCTGTTCTTCTCTCACCCTCAGCTCCTGCTTGCAGGGGCAGAAATGCTTTTATTTCTGGTAGGATTGGGCACTTTTTAAAGTTGGATTTGGTGAACTTTGCTTTCCGTCACCTAGATTAGAATCTGGTTACAAGGGATTCAGTTTCTGGATCATTTTTCTGTCATTCATTCACTTCTCACTCACTCTTGCACTGACAGACTGACTGACAGACAGACTGACTGACTGACACTCACGCCTCTGTCAGTACACAGGGCCTGTCCCATTCCAGGTCTGTGCTGTCTGAGGTTAAGAAGATGGAGACAGGCTGGAAGCTCATATTCTGGTGGCGGTCGGCTGAAGTCTATTTCAGGCACAGGGAGTTTACTGTCTTAGGAGTCGCTGGGAAGTTGCAGTGCCTTATTAAGACTGATGTTTGCATCTGGGCAAGATGGAAGGCTGAACAGAATAAGTACTTGGGAATCTGAGGCTTATGAAGATTCTCAGGCCTGAGGATGAGGGCCTCCAGCAGTCCGTGGGCTTTGGGAAGCTGGTCTGGAGTTTCTGAGCCCCTCGTGGGGTCTGTTTTCTCATCTCTCCCATCATTTCCTCCTCAGTTCCAGTGGCTCCTCACCCTGCAGCTCTC